ATATAGAATGCATATTTATAACTGACACCACGACAACAATTAATACATTTAATCGTTATTCAAATGGAATGGATGTGGAAATGATAGATTGTTGATAGGCCAAGCGTCCGGATCCGAACCAACGCTCCCGATTGGAAGCTCGCGCCAACCGAGCGCTCTGATTGGTCGAAGTTTTTTGTTAATAACTCCTCAACCACGCCTCGGACAACTTTCTCGCTAAGGAAAATGTTGTTTAAAATCACGTCAGGAATCTCCCATTTCAATATCGTACGTACAATCTTGTAAACTTCATAGTGTCTTAGTGTCTTACAATTTCTGTTCGTTGGCTTAAAATTAAGTATGAAATTACAAAGAAAAAAAAGTTAGTAAGTAGAAATCGTGACATAGACTTGAGATATTTACTATGCAGTTTTGGGAAACACGTGTAGAATAACGTGGACCTTTTTGCTCGATCCGATTTGCGTCACAACCTCCCCTTAATCTCCTTTGGCATTTTCAAGAGGTACTTTATTCCGGGAATCTGTTGTTTTATTCCGGGACGAAATAGCCAACCGTGGCGTTGTCGGTGAAATCCTCTTTGAACCGTAGAGCCGTGGACCAGCGCGTCGGTTACGACATCACCGCGGCGGTGTACAATTTTAAAAATGCAAGTCCACTTTGTGACGCGGCACCCATTTAAGCATCGCGCATCGTGCGGACGCGCACTAGGACTCGGTGCTCCTCTCCACCAACGATTTTGTCGTATCTGGAGTGCGCCTCGCGTCGCGAAAAGATGCCACGAAACGCTCGGTCCAGCTAAACAATGAGATAAACACGAATCGTTCTGTTTTACAACGGACTATAAAGCGACCGAGGAACGAGTCGTGGGTTCCTTCGGGCGACCGATCGTTTCTGCGAAGTTTTACGAACTCGTCAGACGCGGGGCGACGAGTAGTAATCTAGCATCGCGGCCGCTGACGGCCGAGCTTATTCCGCGCGATAAGCGGGAACAAGGGGTATAAAGTTTGCATTGGAAATGATAAGAGATCGATACGAGTTCACGGAAGAACGGTCTGGCATGCACTCGATGTCGTTACCCGTCCGTCCCCTCGATCCGGATTCCCTTTACTTTCGTCGCATTTCTTCCTTTTAACTCAATACCGTGATCCAAGCTCCGTTCTGAAAAGGCTCGAACAATCCGCACGCTGTAGCATCGGCTGAGCAGCAACGGTCTCGTCCTCGTTCCCACCGTCGTCGGTCGCGACTCTTTCTTTGCTCCGTTCCTGCCGCTTACTCGGCTCGTCACCGTTTTAGATCGCTTTCGAGATATCTTGCCAGATACCTAGCCGTCCTCACGGGAGGACAGGCTACGACCGAAAGATACCGCCGCGGAACCGTTGGCGACAAGCCCAGTCCCGGGAATTTTTTTAATCCGACGGTGAGATAGGAAGAAGGATCGACGCCTGCGTCCTCCTCGCTCGATGAAACTTCTCCTCGCGCCGGTCAGTTCTTGTGAAAACCAACCGGATGAAAGATAAATGGGAGACGGAGCG